AAACAAACACAAAACTCATTCAACAACTAAATATCTCTATATCCTAATACTAAAGCAATTATTTCTGAGCTTAATAAAACTCTAAAAACTAGATAAGAAAAGAAGCAACAAAATTGCTAACATATAGCAGAACCAAAGTTCTAAGAAGAATATATAGAAAAGAAGCTAAAGCTATAAGACAAAGTATAGATAACTTTATAAGAGCAATGTTAGATACACATATAGAGTATCTAAATACAGAATACAAAATTTGTATATCACACCTGCTTGAGTCTTAAAATATACAATACTGCAACAAGATAAAAGAAAAGTAAAATATACTAAAAGAAAAAGCATGAAAGAAACTACAAGCTATAAAAGAAAAAGAAATAAAAGAAAGAATAGAAGAAAGATTTGTATTAATGTTCAGAAACCAAAAGCAAATGCTAAACAAGCTTTTCAAATATCTTTATAACAAGATTGTAGTTGATAGAGTGCTAGTTTAGAGTAAAGATAAGTTTGAGAATAGAAAGCTAGTTACAAAAAGTGATAATATTAAAAGAGAAGTAGTAAAATATTTTGAAGAATAATTTAGAAAAAAAAATCATCAGTTTAAGTAAATAAACTAAGAATAGGCAAAAATTTATGAAGAACAAAAAAGAATTAATCAAGATTAGTACATGAGTATTATGAGCAAAATAACTAAAGAAAAATGAACAGAGGTTACCAACATGTTAAAAGAAAATATAACACCTAGCATCTCAGGAATCAGTTACAAGCTTATTAAAAAAATAAGCTCAAAAACTAAAGAACATTTTATAAAATTCACAAACCAAATAATATATGAAGACAAATTCTCTAAAAAATAGAAGCTAGAACAAATATACTTAATTCCTAAAAGCATAAATTGGGAATTTAACTTAGCAAGCACTAGGCCAATAATATCAAGCAAACTTGCTACGATAGATTGATAATCACATTGAAAAGAATACGCCTCCTCCCTTTATAATTAACAAAGACTAGAGGTCTTATGGCCATACTAGCAAAGTATAAGCCAAGGATAAACTAGCCCTAACTTCTACCTCTCTCAGTATAGTTGATAAACACATGTATATGTAAAATTTTAATTATTAATAAAGAGCTAGAGGAAAGACCTCATTTTTTTAAAAAAAAAAAAAAAAAAAAAAAAGAGTATTTTTGTTAGTTGTATTCTAGTTGAGAATATTAAATAAGGTTTTGATATAATTAGTCAAAAGTTATTTCACCGACAATAAATCTACAGCTACACTAGCTATAAATACTATAAATACTGAAATATGGTTAACCCAACCCTAAATCGGGCCCAAAAATTGTTGTCGGTGAAAAGGTTGTCTGCGAGATTGATTACTACCCTTTTAAAATATAAATTTATCGTTCAATAATTAACATACTATCACGCTAAAGTTTTTCCCCATCAACCCATTTTCCCGACACCAAATAACCGACATGCAATTTCACCTACAGCACGTTTTTTCGTTAAGACAAATATATATTTCGACTACTCTTTTCTCGTCAAGACATATTTCTAACAAAATAATCCCCCCCCATGAATTTTTCCCCGATATATAATTCTAACCAACACTAATCCTAAATCGGGCCAACCCTAACGCTAACGTGCCAATGTTAATGTCAGAGAAATGGATGCCACCATGTTCCGTTAGAATTTATCTTGTCAAAAAAAAGGGTTGTCGAAAACATATAATGTCGCATATATGTCTTGTCAAAAAATGTTCTGTAGGTGGGAAAATGGGTTAACGGGAACCAACTTTAGGGGGACAATGCAGGATCTTAAAGATATCGCTTTTTACAGAAGTAAACTTTAGAAATTTAAAAATAGTAGTAGCATATTTAGCACCTTCTAAAAAATGGCTTTATTTTTTTTAAAAAAAAATTAATAATTATGGCTTTTCAACAGCAAATAAAAAAAAGCCTTTGTTTTTGTTTTATAGTAATATTCGCTAAGTTTTACAGGGGATAATTTATTGTAAAAGCTAAAGTTAACATGCAACAGTCTACTGCTACTGCTACTATACTTTCAAAAAAATTATTGCTAAATGACATGTGGCTAACCACATGTTGATGGTAAACAAGGTTCAAGCCACTTGAAAAGATGTAAAGGTTTTTTTTCTTTTACAATAAACAAATGTAAAAGAACGCTAAGCCAATTTAACTTTTAAATAAATAAATATTTTTTTTAAAGGAATAGTGAACCACATAAAGCTTAATCTAATAATTGCTAAGCAATGTAAAACTCCTGTTCAAAATATTTCATAATTAATCAACAAATTAACTTCTAAAGTGCTTGCGCTAGTTCGCGGACGAATAAACATTACTGTTTATAATTAAAATATATGAGAAGAGTAACAAGCATCACCAACTCAAATCTTCCTTTTTTTTCTTTTTTTTTAAAAAAAGTTATCTAAGTTATAATTCAATTTCTCATTTATGACTTTATAGAATTATAAAATAAAAAATGGCAATTTCAAAGATTATAATCAAAATTGCTAATGTATTAGCACTCTTTTTCCTTTTGGGTGTTAATATCTATTCCGGTCTTGGACCAGATAATGTAGGTCTTAAATAAATGCTGGTGATTAATCAGTGTTCTGTTCAAAAATTACGGTTTATTTAACGTTAACATTTAAAAGTTTTTTTTTTTTACGCGTCAGTCATATTAAAATTTAATTATATATATTTTTTTTTAGGAATCTCATTATACTAAAAACCATATCACATATATTTCTCCAGCTTATTTCACTTTCTATGTTTGGTTTCTTATTCATCTTTTGTTAATAGGTTTTGGTAAGTTTTTATAATCAAAATATAAAGTTTATAATCATCAGTGTATTATAACCTGTGAATATGATTTCTATTTTAGTTATTTACCAATTCTTTCTGGAGGCACCTAGAGATGAAGCTATCACTAAAGATATTCACTGGCATTTTGTCGGTGTTGCCTTGTTAAATACCTTATGGCTTGCTTTATGGGTGAAGATATTTTTATATACTTTTGTACCGTATAAGTCGCAAAATAACGTATCTTTGCGCGTCATTTCGGGACGATCATGTGCGTTAACTTTGAACTTGTCAAATTTCGCCCAATATAAATATAATATACACGTTATTTCGAGACGCGCGCATGGGTAATTTTGAATTAAACGATATTTTAAAAATTTCCGAGTAACGTTCCCGAAAGTGTTATTCACGATTATACGGTAAAATTTCGAGTCTAAATAAATAAATAAATATATATCTAAACAACTTTATTATTTACAGAACGATGATTTACTTTTACTATCATGGATCACAATCTTTGTAGTAGTATGTCAAGTAACTTACATCTATCATGCACTATATAATAGATATACATTTGAATCACCTCCACCATCATGGCTTGAAAACCTATTCATCAAATTTCCATTTACTTTATACCATGCATGGATTGTCGTAGTGGCAGTTCTTACAACTTATGCTGTAATCACTCCAGAAAAAACTTACCAAACCGCTAACACAACAAACACAACAAACGCAACAAGCACAACGACTACTTATGGATCTGAAGAACCAAATATAATTGTACAAATTGCTGTTATTATAGGATTAATTATTCTTGAATCGACAGTTATTACTTACATTGAGCTCAGAGAGGATTGGGCAGGTGGAGCGGTAAGATTTCGTTTTTTTTTTTTTTTTTTTTTTTCGAGTTAACTGTTAACTTAATTTAGTCTTGCAATGATAACATTTAGGTCATTGCTTGGACTTTATATGGTATCTGGTATGAACAAGAAGATCCAGTGATTCATTGGACTGCTCTTGTACTTGCTGTCACAGCCACTATTTATCTTTTTAAACCTCTTGTCGTGAAGTACATTAAAGACAAAGAACCCTTCTGAGCTTTTTGATTTCTGAAAAGGATACGCCCCGTTGATTACTACAAACGTACTCATAACTTTTCTATCATGATAGAATCTCTTGCTTATTATTATATCTTTTCTAGATATTTATTATATAAAAATAACTAATACAAATACCACAGCAAGACACCCTTTGAGACTATTCACAAAAATGTTAATACCAGAATTGAGTTTTCGTCAACCGCTCGGAAGTAGAGATTATTTTATTTTATTTATTAGATTACATAACAGATAAACAAAAAATTATATATATATATATTTTTTAAATAAATACGCTTTAACAACACCATTAATTTTTTTTTTTTTTTTTTTTTTTGAAACTGATTTACTATACTGTATATAAAAAAAAATTAATCTATGAACAAGGAAATTGGTTGAAACAAGTTTAATCCTTGTTAAAAAAAAAAAAATACAATTATCATGTTTTAAACCTTTTTTTTTTTGAAAATGTATCAAATTAAGGTTTTATAGTGTTTTATAGTCTTTATCATTGAATAAATAAGATAAACTTTTATATAGTCTTTATCATTGAATAAATAAAATCCAGGTTATGCGTCAATTATAGGTTAATAAAAATGGAAGTGTGATACTACAAGAATGATATTACAAGAATGATACTTGATATCATGATCATTGAGACAAAATTTGGCAAAGTTATTGAACCAGTCGAGCATGCCGCGCAGTTGTAGTCTATAAGGTATTAAAAGGAATATTTATTTTAAAATGAAAGTCAGAAAAAAAAAAAATAAATAAAAGAATTAATGAGTTAATTTGTTTTTACCTGATAAAGGAACATTGGATCCAGGTTTGTACATGGTAAATGTATAAGTCGTTTCGGCCTGCAACCTTCCAGCACCACCAGTATTTTGTGGTTGCCAACCCCTCTCATCAAAGATATAAAGGGTGTACTTCCCTTCAACCATATCAACGTTTTGAGATTTATATTGACTCGTATCCCATGTATAAGTTGTGGTAGCTGGATCCAAATTAGAAGCTACAGTGTAATTTTGAATGGAACTTGTAGCCGAAGGTACAGCAGTTATATTCAAATATTTTGGTATAGTAGAGAATTGGGATGAATAAGTCCATGTAAAAGTTATGTTATATCCGATAGCTTGAAGATTATTAACTGATTGTGGAGGAGATGTGATTGTGATCATAACTGGAGCAGCCCCGGCGGGCGGAAGGTTTGCGAATGTTGAGTTTGATGATGTAGAATTTGAAGGTGTCGTTGAATTTGAAGGTATCGTTGAATTTGAAGGTGTTGTTGAATTTGAAGGTGTTGTTGAATTTGAAGGTGTTGTTAAATTTGAAGGTGTTGTTGAATTTGAAGGTGTTGTTGAATTTGAGGGTGGGGTCGCCTGACTTAAAGATGAGTTTGAAGGTTGTTGTGTTGGAAGAGAAGAACTTGCAGAGGTTGGTTGTTCTGGAGAAAGAAAAAAGTTAAATTAGTATTTCTTTTACATTTTTCTTAAATATGGTAAAAATCATACTTACGTCGTTTGTGCAAACCGTCGATAGCAGTTACATACTGAATATTCAACGTTACTAAGATTAAAGCAATAACTAATACTGACAACTTTATTATCGAACGCATTATTTGGATAATTTTTATGCGTCAAAAATATGGAGCGAAAGTTATATATACTATTATTTACGACCTATATTCAAAGGAGTGTATGTCATCAAAGAATAAACAGAGTTATTTGTGCATGACCAAACAACCGATCAAACATACTAACCATTAATTATTAGTACAGTACAACAAAAATAAAACAGCATTCAATATAAGTTTTACGTTTGATAATACCTGATCCCTAAAAGGCTCCCAATGAAATTAAACCTTATAATTAATCTACCAGTATGAAAAAAGGAATATAGGAGTAAAGAAAATGATCTTGATCTTTGAAACGAAATAATGTGTGGATCCTATTTATTTACTAGCATACCCAATCATACCAAAACGAATTATTTAATCTAAAAAGGCTATTTATATTATATAGAGTCTTCATGTTCCAAAATTCCAAATTTAGTTTTGTGTTGAATTAGAGATGCTCCTGATTCGTTCAACAATAGCTTTAATACATTATACATACGTACGATCTGTATGTAATTGCCACTATTGCAATATTGTTATTGCGCAAATTTGCGTTTGATCCGTGCGGCTTAGGTCGAAACAATAGAAAAACATAGAAATGTAGTACTTTATACCAGTAATTGCTTTTTTTTTTTTTTTTGCATATGTCGATACGGCTTCCAGATTATTCTGAACAAAATTAGAAACTTTATTGTAACGCTTTTTTACATAATCGATATTTAATACTTTTTGTACGTTCTATTATTATAAGTTTATATATAGAAATAAAAACTCTTTATCTGTTTAATTGTGTAATTTTTTTTCTTTATGATAATATCGCTGATTATTTGAAAGAAAAACGATTTACTATCAACTATATACAGTACCATTACGTAAAAGATTGGCTATATATGAGTGGCGTCAAGTGAATTTATAATTATAAATTTTCCAACTTTTTGTTTTTCCTTGGTGACGCTCATATGTGTGCACTGCCCACGAAATTCTGAATAAATTATGTGATTTCTGTTAGGTTACAATACAACTTTCTGCCTGTTAGATTAATTATATTAACTAATATAATTATGAAAACTGATACGTAGTTACAGTATTGCAATATATTTTATACGTAGCTATTCAAAAATACATATTTCCTGACTAGTGGCTATATTATTATATCTGTTATAAAGTAAGATTTTCTATCAAAATGCGGTACGTATATAGTAAATGGTATAAACTTCACCGATCATTGACGATTACTAATTATTAAACCATGTGCGAATTTAAAAATTTTTTGTATTTGTATTGGGTTGGGTTTCATACTGTAAACCTGGCAAGTCAAATTTTTTTTTTTTTTTTTTTTTTTAAGCTTGGTCTGACGTTATGAAAGAAATTAACTTTATATGGCCTAAGATGAAAATCGCTTGTTTATCTTTATTCATGTCAAACATATATTCAGATAAATTATTTTTAAATTGTCAAAAAATGTAATAAAAATAATTTGGTAATACGTAAAAATTTTTAATATATTAAAATTTTACAAACTCAAGTGTATGAGTGCCGCCAACAAGTTTTTTCTTGACGACACTTATATATCGATAATATTTAAAAACGCCAACTTAACTAAGTGCACTGTGACAAGGCTAAGTAAAAAAAAATTGTGCTTTGAAAGTAAAATATATTATTATATAGAAAAAAATAATTTTAACATATATATATATATACTGTATATAAATTATATAATTGTAACTTACATTCTTGAAGATTAATCTTTTTGTTTTAATTTATCTTACTACGTATATTATGTTACAAAAAAATATATTTAACTATAAACATAAATAGATATAATAAATATATTTACTGTATATGATATTAAAATTTTATTATATAAATCTGTTATATATGTATAATAGTAAAAGTTATATAACAAGGTTTTTAAAAATTTTATAGCATTAATACAGTAAGTAGATTCACAATTTTTGTTATATTTGAGTACTGCAGAGTAGGAAGAGCAAAATTTTTTTACGTACTATTCTTACATATAAAATTTTTGATGCAATATGTAATGAAGTTAACGGTAATAAATTATTTATATTTTGTGATCTATTTTCTTAAAAAAATCATGCATTTAATATGTAATAATTTACAAAAAATATGTAAGGAATAAAAAATACATATCGATTACATAAAAAATTATGCCCATCCATACTGCAAAGAAAAAACTTGAAAGTGAATATTTAAGTATCACCGTAGCGGACTTATCGTATTATAATATAATACGATAAGTTCGCTACGGTGATAGCTTAAATATTCACTTACAGATTTCCCTTCATTTGAGTGCTGCCAAAGGAAAATGATACTTCGGTTTTTATTGATTATTTACTGTATTTGATTCAGCCTCTCTGATCGATAATACATCGGGCTTTAAAATAATATAACGTTCTGAACTTGGCCGCTGAAAAATATGATCAGCGATATATTACTAATATATCACTAATCATATTTTTCAGCGAACATAATATAATTTTAAAGCCTAATGTATCATCGATCAGAGGGGCTGAATCATATAAATAATCGATATAAACTGAAGTATCATTTTCCCTTGGCAGCACTCATTTCAGCAGTCTTTGTCTGAATCGTCACCTGATCAAACATGTGATTGGCCCTTTACGATCACATTTTCGATCAAAGAACGAAAAGTTCTAGTAATGTTGTAATTTCGAAGGCATTAGAAAAGCTGGACTTTAAAGGGGGTCATGAATTGTGCAATTATAAAGTAAGAATTAGTAATGCGATCAGTGAATATGTTAAAACAGGATACAGTGGAAGCATCCGAAAATCATCATAAGTTATTCGCAAAATGAGAGACAAAAACAGTATTTAAGGCCATACAAATTTAATTACTTGGTTTTCATAACATGAAATTTTAAATCAGACCCGGCCGGCCGGCTTTTTTTTTTAAATTTTATATGTAAAAATTTTATAAAATACTATAAATTTTTTTACAAAAACCCACCCGGTTATTAAAACATATAAAAAGAATTTTTTGAAAGTTTTCAAACCTTGACCCGGCCGGGTTATGAAAATCAATTTATGGCCTAATTAAGATTTTTAAAATCATTAAGATATTTAATACATGTGTATTTAATATCAACTATTATTCTATTTGTATTAATTTAATGTGAGTATAAAAATATTATTTTGTTCTCGACGTTCTTGAGAACAAAATTATTTTCTCAGAATAGAAACATGAAATTTTTTAATTTTTAATATAGTTAATAGTATTTTGAGAACATAAAAAATTTTTTTTGAATATAGTAAATTTTATTAATAAGAAAATAAATTTAAAATTTTATGTTCTCAAAAAACAAAAAAAAAAAAATTCAGATTTCCTTCACTGGTAATGAGTATAAAGAACATTTTCGTAATTATTAGTACATCTACCCAAAAATTAGTCCTGAATTCATTTTATAAGCTATCTGAGTTAATTCAGATTAATAAACTCGATGTTTCTGAAGAGTGTTAAGCTCTACGTTTGATCAGGGTCATAATTCGAATCAAAAAGTTAAAGTTAGTGCTGCTCACTTCACAAAAAATCACTTTGTCTATTAAATGAGCTGTCTGTAAAAATAAGTTGTCTATTAAATGAGCTTGTCTGTGAATTGGTTGTCTGTAAAATAAGCTTGTCGGTGAATTAATTGTTTGTGAACTATTGGGTGTTCTATATGATAAGCGAACCAATGAAATTTTGTAGAAATTTACGTAAGACCATACTAAATTAATTTTTTGATTCTCATAATGATAACATAAAAATTTTAAAAGTGACCCGGCCGGCCAGACAAAAATTTTATATGTAAAATTTTTTTTCATATTAAGAAAATTATATATATATATATATATTTACTTATATGATATCTAAAAAAAAAAATTTTAATTTCAATTTGTCAAAAAAGTCACTCGGTCGGGCTATGAGAAACAAAAAATTAATTTTGTATGGCTTAATAATGAATATTTTACTATTAAAATTTATTAATTTATAAATTTAATTAAATAAAATAAATTAAATTAAAAAATATACTCTTAACATATCATATACAAGCTACAGAATTTAATTCGCTTCATAGAACAGAAGTTAGAACGGTTTAAAAAATACATCGATCGTATGTTTAATTTTTTAAATACATTATTTATATAGAGACCTACATATTAATATTAAATATGGCAACATAGTTTTAAAACCATACTCAACATATCATATACAAGTTACAGAATTGAATTCGCTTCATTAGAACATAAATTAGAACGTTTTAAAAAATACCGATATTATAATAAGTAGCTGCGCAACGCAGTTTCGCGAAACCAGGAACGGGGAAGTAATGAATACAGTGTTAGATACTACGTATGAAAAGATTTTTATAAGGGTATTTTTAGTAAGCACACTTCAGACATGCACATAATTTAACCATTGTAATTCTTTGATTTAGAATTGACAATCTATTATAGAAAAAGGATGATTGTAATTCTTTGATTTTAGAATTGACAATCTAGTATAGAAAAAGGATGATTATAATTCTTTGATTTAGAATCGACAATACATTATAGAAAAAGGATGATTGTAATTTATTTTTAATATTATTGCGCTTTGCGACCTTGCAGATCATGATGTCATGTGAAAATCACGGGAAATTAGGTGTTTTCCGAATTTTTCGGTATATACCTGATACTTATTTGATCAATAGGAAATTTAGAATCACAGAAGTTTTCCTCTATCATCACAAAGAAAATCACAGGGTCACACCTTTTTGCAAAGCGCAATAATAAGATTAATGTTAAAACTGTATAAAGAACTAAGAAAATTTTCTTTATAAAGGTAAAAATGGGTAATTGAGGGGCTATTTTAAATTTTAAGCTCCTTTTTACGAGATTAAAGTCGCACGATTTTGTAATAAAATTTATAATATAAAAACAATTGACCATATTGTCTATTCTTATAAATTTTCATATAATTTAAAGGATCGTACGAT